GAGAAAATCAAAATATTAAATTGACTTCGTAACGAAAAATCAAGTAACCTTACGGTGATATGAGAGTTAAAGTTACAAGCTAAATTAAATAGAGACTGTATCAAGAATGTATTAAGGCTTAATAAAAACGGTTCCCGGTCTAGGTTCTCTGCGCAAACCTTTTTTTTTTTTTTACATTTTACATAAAGGAGACCAGTTCTGATAAATAAATATGCATAACAATGTACGCAATAACTCCCAAGACATACATACATTATATCACATAGTTGATTAGTATTAACGCGTTACTTGGGTGTCCATTAATAATATGCCCGAGTGTATATCCTTTAAAGACGAGCTGGAGTTCATGTGCATGATATTAATATCCTTTCTTCTGTTCAGCACGCATTGAGTGCAATACAAATACGGTTATATATACCATATGACATTTTTCTATGTTATATAGAATGTCACTTTACAACAATACTCACCATATTGTAGATAATAATTCAAGTGTGAGCCTCAGGATGGCAAATACAAGCATTCGTATAGTGCAAAATAATTGGATCTATATTCACACAGTCGATTATGTAGGTCAATCAAGATTTCTGATAATTGGAATAAGAACATCTGAATGCCCCGTCTTTTACGAGGGACTAGGGGGAAAGATGGTAAGAGCGTATGCTAGGAGAATTTTATTAAAATAGAGCATGTCAGTTTATGTACGAGTGGTCAAAGGACATATAGATTGAAATTACAGACGCACCCCGAATATATTTTTTGGAACGGAATGATTACTGGAATATTTAATCGTTCATAGTAAAGTTAGTATACATAAGTAAATTCTTCCCCACGAAGATAGTCTATGTTACCACGATCTTAAACCTTACAAAAACAATTCAATACATTGTACATGTAAAGATATGATTCGGACTCACTGCAATCGCGTCATCACTGAAAACAGATGCGCTACTCTACGTGTTACTCACTGCGATAAATAACAAAATATAAAGCTAAAATTATAAGTGAGAGCTTTCTTTGGGGCAAAATTTGACATGTGAAAATGTGCGTATTTTTTTATCTCATTTCTAAGTGTCAATCTAAGAAATATATGCAGTGTAGTTACCCGTCAAAAGTGTGCTTCAAACCAAGCTTACGGCGTCTAGTTAACTTTCATGGTATGTAATCTCACTTATTGCAGTGCTATTTCTCATCAATATAAGTGTCATAAACTATGAACGTATACGTCATACATACAGTTAGATAATCAAAATCCCCTCTCCCTAATATATGTCACGTCTCGACACAGTGTTCAACAAGCTTCCAAATTGAATCATTTAATCTTTGTATGAAGACTCGTAATACTCTTTGCCTATATACAACTACACAGTGAGTTAATAGGTGTGAATCTGTCCAATGAAGTAGTACGTATTCAATGCATACAAGTGGATGAAATTACGCGATGACACGAGGACAATATCACAAATGTAAACGCATCGCTAATGCTGTGTAATGATAAATTGCACACGAACCTCTCTCGCCATACATGACATAAGTTGTTAATGTTAATACGTAGATGAACGGTGATCTGTGTCGAATCTACGATAATTGCTTAATAATGTACTGTAGATTTATTTTCTCCAAGTCTTCACCAATAAGTTGATAGAGATGCGTGTTCTGAATAGACAAACAATTAAATACTGTGCCCGTATAAATGTGTTTTTTTCTTCTTTAAATCACTGTTGAAACTACGTAGTGTTCAGGATACTCAAAATGCCGTGTGTCTTTAGTATTGTCACAACACAAATTATCTTAAACTTGAAGTCAGAAACGAGGCCACGAATCGAATCGAAATATTTGAATAAATCTCGTGACAGCGTGAACACCCACAAAACATAAAACCAGTACCTAAAAAAAAAAAAAAAAACACACACTAAGGCTTTGAATTTGTGTATGCGTACATTAGAAACCATACAATTCGGGTGCGCTAGGAGCCTTTATAACAACGTTATTATCATGTGTTCCGTTCTACATGACATGCTCAGATTAGCTAGAAGCAGCCTCCCTGTAAACAATCCATAATTTCCGAAGTAGTAAGTATATATATATCGAAAACATAGACTATTATGCGCCTGCGTGGATGTCATGTTGTTTTCATCTGCACTAGTTTTGATACGTTTCGTCAAACTGTTGAAAATATGTTGCTGCTCGTCGTTCTCCCGTGGCGAGTTGGCATTCAAACATTGATACGAGGCACTCCTCTTCCATGATAGCATGCATGACAGACCTCGTAAATCACTTAATAGATTTATGTTTTCCAGGCCACTTCCCAGTCTCACATTGTCGTTGTCGCTATTAAATATTCTGTTGGTTATGGTAATGTTTTGTGGATGTCTACACGTTGTCCATAATAAACGCATGCGATGATTCTGCTGGATAATGTGATTCATTACTGTGACACCGATTTAATGCATTGTACAGTTTTTAATAATGGCCGCGGTTAGATGTTACATATATTGAATATCTTTTATTAGTTTACGTGTCACGGCAGTTAAAATAATATCAATAATGCAATCCATATCTCAAATGTTCGTATTTCAATAACAAAGTCATAAAAGCCTGACTTCATTTGCATCATGTGAACCTTGCGGGCATTGACATATGACGTACGTATTGTATGTACATGAAACCCTTGCGGCAATATTGTGTTGGATATAAAATACAGAAAGATGGTCACATATTATATGTAGTCCACTAAAAGATCGATACTGGCACAATTCATGCGTGCATGAGTCCATTTACAGCTTGTGAACTCTCAACTTGCGTTTAGTACTGACACAAACAACACTCAAGGCAGTTACGTGTATTTATCCGTTTCAATAGAAAATATCGGCATTCGATGCGGCATGGATGCATTGGTTGCTTGTACCTAGTGTGCAAGCATTGGAATTGTAAAAACAATGTACTCAACAAAGTTTTATTTGCTATAGATGAGTCCTCATATACACCGGAATAAAAGCAAAATGTTTTTTTGTGTGATTTACTGCACCATGTGGAATATTTTTAATTTCATATTGAATACTGAAATGATGTACGTACATTTGCAAGCAATGCTCTCTTTGTTTTCCGTTAGTATACATGTATATTGATAAAAAATACCCATCTGTCTCCTTTGTACACCTATCTGTATACGGATAATGCCATGGCAAATGAGTCCTGTACGCTATTGAAATAATATCGTAGTTCTATAAAACCAATTATCAACACAAAAGAAAGTAATATATATCATTTTGTTCGGAAAGTTGTAATAATCTTAATATGTACTATCCATTTGTGTCACCCAATTTATTTCATGTACTAATAAGAAAAATTGAATTGTCAAGAAAGTGTAGAAATAGCTGTTGCGAAACAATCAATGAAATTTCTTTGCCATAGATCGTTTCAAAAAGATGACCCAGAAAGCTCTTATTTTATATTAATTTCATTCCAATGTGTACATAATTTATGTTGGAACATTAATTTCTTCAACTGTCACCGTAAACATACTTTAAAGACTTTCGATATTGTTAAGGCATTTCGTTTTCAACTCAAGACATAACTTAAGACTAATAACATGTAGAAAATATAGCAAATTGTATTTTTTTTCCTGTAATATTCTTGAGTAATAGTAATTATGAAAATTATTATTGGTGTGCATATAGATCAAATTTCATTTAGATTTATTCTTAATATATATTTTGATTCAGTTGATTTTCCCGAAACGAAATAATTTCACAATGTTGAAAACGGAAATTGAAAGTCTTTATCTATTTAAATTATTTACATAAAATTCTCAACCAAATGTTGTTGTTTTCCCTTTAAGTGTCCTTACTAAAATTTACGGTTTACGAAATAGTTTATACCTTCTTAAAATTCATTTAATTGATTATCATCAATATAATATTATCAAATCTCAGAATAGTTATACTTTCATAAATATATATATATGTATATTTATATATAAATCACATATATTTGCGTCTGTATTAAATATGATTTAATGA